GCACTTAATCACTTTTTGCTGAACTGCTGGATCTTTATATTCCACCCAGGACAACTAGGTCTGCTGGAAGCTCCTAAACAATTGAACTTTGGGCTGCCTCAAGAACTGCCTGCAGAGGCACATTAGATATGCCACAAAGATTGAGATCTTTCTGTCTGTCTTTCGTAAAGACAGTGTTTCTCCTTTTGGAATGGTAAACTTCCACAATACAACTTTGGCCTTTTTGAGTTATTCTTAGATCATCAGTTTTCCCTAAAAAGAGGTGATTGGAGACACAATATCAGGGATTTTTTTTCAGTTCATTCACAACCATATCATAGCCTTCTTATTTTTACAAGGGATTCAGCCTAAACTATGTAGTTTATCCATTTATTTTCCAATGTATCTGTTTGTGTTGCGTTCAATCGTGTGTTACATAAAATCAGATTTATCGGGATTTGATAAATAAATGACATTTACACTTAACTGTGTTGGATTTTTGTAAGCCGATTGTGAGGCTGTGGCTAGTTTTGTCGACTAAAGCTTGTTTCGGGAGTGGTTGCTCATCTTTCCACTCAAATTAAAGCTGTGAATTAACATGTGATTTGTGCTTGTGTGACATTAGAGTCTGAACACTTCCTCTCATGGCGATCTCAGAAATGTTCAGTGTCATGTTTAGCACTGGCTCCTCCTCCGATTCAGCTTTGGGAACTAAATTTGCCCTGTCACCTTTTTGCACTCGGCCCGCCCTGGCTTTGTTTCCCAGGGAATTGCCAAAAAAGCCTCACTCATGCTATGTCCCATATTCCCTCCCCCTGCAGTTTTCCCAAGCCTACTTGTGAAAAAAGCTGTATCATGGTTTGCCTCGACCCCTCCCACCGCTTCTGCTGAAGTTGCCATTTCATGTTAAGCAGACGGTTTGACTCAGACTTCCTGTTTTCATTGAGGCAGAAAGGGGGAGGGAGTTGGAGACAAGCAGCTTGTATAAAAGAAGGAGAAGAGCTAGAGCTCTCAAACTGAACAAGAGAGCAAGACAGAGAGCTGCAACTCCATCTGAAGAACTTAATCACAGCTGGTAGGTAAATCACAACTCAGATATCAGAACCTTTGCTGATGTTTAGATTTTCTAAATCTTCTAAGTGTTGGGATATTATGTGCAAAATGACACATTTGTCATAAACATATTTTCTGACAGGTTTGACATATTTAGGAGCACAATGGAAACAGAAAAGAGGACTCAGAAGTCAGCAGAGCAGACCGTTACCAGGTTAGATTGAGCTACTGTGATTTCCTTCATACCTCTGAAACTTTGTTTTGGTCTTTTCCCCCAGTGAACATTGTCCAAATATGACTGCTTTTCTTTAATATCCTGAAAACCAACGTTGTTGTTTTCTCTCACACAGAGATCTGTCAGAACAAATCAAAGAGGTGACCAAGGAGAGCCATGTCAGAGCAGAAAACACAGAACTGATGCTGAGCTTCCAGCGGGGGCAAGTTACACTTCCACAATATAAGGTAATGATAAACTCTACAGCACGACCGCTGAGATAGATTAAATTTAGGTTGGATTCCAGCGGGTTAACCAAATGCACCTCTATGCCTCCTCCATAGCTCCTCCTGTGCTCCCTGTATGAGATCTACCGGGCGTTGGAGGAAGAGATGGACAGGAACTCCAACCATCCCGCTGTTGCACCCATTTACTTCCCCGCTGAACTGGCCCGGATCAAGTCCATTGAGAAGGACCTGGAGTACTTCTACGGACCGGACTGGAGGGAGAAGATTGTCGTCCCTGTCGCCACTCAGAGATACAGCCACAGACTCAGACAGGTAGGTTTTCTACATTCCACATGGAAAGTGTCATTGTTGTACACAACGACACTTTATTTCAGTACAGCCCGTGAGGCATCACCATTTCCTCTGTTTAATTTAAGGCCCAATATAACTTGATACGTTAAGTTTTAGCATAGACAAAAAAAGAAACTAATATTTCATGAATTTCTCATTTTTACACAGACTGCTTGAAGTGTAAGAGTTAACGGTCTTTATTCTTGTGTATTTTTCAGATTGGCAAAGAAAACCCTGAGTTCTTGGTTGCTCACGCTTACACCCGATACCTGGGAGACCTGTCTGGAGGGCAGGTGCTCGGCCGAATTGCCCAGAAGTCCATGGGGTTGAAAAGCGGCGAGGGTCTGTCTTTCTTTGCCTTCCCTGGCGTTTCCAGCCCCAACCTGTTCAAGCAGCTCTATCGCAGCCGGATGAACAGCGTGGAGCTGACGGCGGAGGAGAGGAACGGCGTGCTGGAGGAGGCCGTCAGGGCCTTCGAGTTCAACATCCAGGTGAGGAGGGGGCGGTGGATATCACCTGCCAGGTCCCAGGCAGCTGAGCAAACAAGATTAGCCCGAGTTAATCATTCACTCACAAACAGCTGACGTTGTCTCTTTTGGTTTACAGGTGTTTGATGGCTTGCAGAAGATGCTGAGCGTGGCGGGAAATCAGCAACGGCAAAGCTCAACAGACTCCAAAGCAGTTCATGGTAAAACACTCCAGATCCTAGGAACCTTTTCACCAATGCTGAGGATGGTACTGGGACTCTTTGTGGCTCTGGCTGCCGTCGTGGGACTCTATGCATTATAGAGACAGTTTGAAAAAAAAAATAAAAATACTGTGTTTTCTTGATCTGAAGATCCTTTTTGTAAATAACTGATAATAAATCCAAATGTGTTTGTGAGCTTTTAACATAAACTAGATTTATACTGTATTTGTTTACATTGTGTACTGACTCGATTTGTACTATTTTCCCTATCACACTAATGCACAGAATGCATTAAATGTGCAATACTGAAAAAATACTGTATGTATGCCACCTTTTTTTAAAATAAAATCTGCTGTAGAAAGAGAAAAACAATGCTTGTTTATCCTACACTAATTTTTCATTATTATCTTTTCATGGATATTACTGTGTTGACACTGAACCCCCAGCAGCTGGATGTTGTCCCTGATGGCTTCTGTTTATTTGGCCTATTGGCTCTGTTGGTGTTTTTCAGATTATGAGTACAAACAGTCTGTGGGGATGAAAGAGGTAAAAAAAAAAATTAAAATTCTTTGCCAGGCAGATGAGGATGCTGTTTACTATAGTTCCCTATAGAAATATAGATTCAAAGTTATTTTCAAATCAATGTATTAATCAAATTCAAGACCATTATCTTGAGTCCTAAGTGGAGGAGTTTTATCTTAGGACTTATTTCACAGAAGTGAAAAATGGAGCAGGAGATTGATAGACCAGACTGGTGTTGCATCTGCGGAGCTGTACCAATCTCTCATGAAGAGAGAACTGAGCTAAAGGGCAAAGGTCTTGATTTACAGATCAATCGAAGTTCCTATCGTATGGTCACAAGCTTTGGTTAGTGACTGAAAGGAGATAGGAGCTACAAGCGGCCTAAGTTTTCTTCCTTAGGGTCTCTAAAAGATAGGATGAGAATTTACATTTAGAACTTTAAAGCAAAAAAATATATATATATGTTTTTTGATCATCTGGATTCTGCTGACATTGTGTTCAATTGTTCATTTATGTCCAGCTAACAGCATAAGCTGCCATCTTTGAGGAGATGCCAAATATCAAAAACTGTCAGTTAAACATTGAATTTTAAGTCTTGGAAAAACAACTAAATTCTTTTCTTTTATATAGATAGACTTTCATTTAGTGAGGGCTTGATATTTTGTCATTTGTTCTTATGTGCCTTAAGCTATGGTTTTGTTTTAGGCCCTGCTCCACATGTGTCACATGTGCACATCCCTTGTGCCCAAGTGTGCTACGTGTATTTTAGTAGCTTCTGTGTTTTATTTTTGTGTTTGTTTTTTTTTTTTTCTTTTTTGAGAATTTTAAATTATGGCTGAAAATACTCAAAACCAATGAACACAACACATCAGCTCAAAAGATTCAGAATGTACTTTTATTGTGACTTTCATCAGTTTTCACAATTTTTTTTGAACTTTTTGCATACATTATAAATTAAAACAGATACAGACTCTTGCTGTGTGTCACCAGCAGCTTCTTCAAACACACCTGTGACACACTGTGCTGGTGTGCGTTTCCTCCTAGAGGAAAACTAAATGACGACAAAGTAAAAGTCAAAACTGATTGTACTTCACAGAACTTGGCTTACATTAACCTTTAGAAAAGGCACGGTGAGCGAACAGTAAATCAGAAATGTCCTCGTACTCGAATCTCTCAACGGTTCAAATCACGCTTTACATTCAGTCAGTCTACATCCCTTCCTGCTGCTTCACCAGTTCTTCCCTCGCAACACGAAGACAGTCTCACATTACGTGTTAGACAACAAAAGGCGAAAACATTTTGTGCTACTAAGCTCAGAAACTTTGGAAATTAGTAAGTTGCTAAAAGAAGTTCAGAACCACACAACAACAAAAAAACCCAAAAACAAAGTCACACTTCCTAGACGTGCCGGTCTCAAACAACCGTTACCTGAAACACTTAAAAACAGAAATTAAAACACATTTCTATATGGAACCCACAAGCTGCAGGCTTTACGATTAAGGAGCTCAATATGTGTTAAGGAGGCCTGAACAGGAAGTTGTGAGTCTGTAAATGTTTCTGATGCTAAACAACATGTATAGAATCTGGAAGAACTAGATTTTAATTCAAAAGCAAAAGGGAGAATTCATATGGAGGAAGCACTCAACAACTAACACTTGCAAAATAAAAGACAGTCAATTCTTGAATCACGTAAATGACTGAACTGATAACATCTAAACTCCAACTCCTGACAACTTTGATTTAGTTGTGGAAACTAACGTGAATTGTGTGAACATGTTTCTGCAACATTCCAGAATATGGATTCTCTGTAAGAAAATCATCTTTTCACTTTGTGTTTTCATTGTTAACTTGTCACACGCAGAGATGACTCAGATAAATCTCCCTGTCTGAAATAACGGACATTACACCAAAGAGGAAGTAAACAGCTGATTACTTAAAAACGAAAATCACTGCATTTTGTAATTTGTTTTAGCTCATCTGACTCGATTTGGCACATTATCCTCCTGTGAAAAGGCTAAATTTCTTCAAACACAAACATGTGAGTAACTGTTCTTGATGTGTGTCTTCATCCCCAGAGACCTTAGAAATACCTGCGCAGGGCCACGACGCCTCGGCTACCTGTTTAACAGAGAGGGTAAAAATGGTGCCGGTCCTTCTGGACAGGAACGGAAGCAGCCGCCGGCGGGGCTCAGTTGGTTTCATATGTAGACAGCAGGGCGGCGTCCACAGGCTCCATGCAGGAGGGGCAGGTGAAGGAGCGCATCAGCCAGGGGTCGATGCAGTCCACGTGGTAGATGTGAAGGCAAGGCAAGAACCGAATGGGATCACCATATTCAAAATCCATCATGCAGATCACACACCTGAGGAAGAGAGAAGCAGCGTTTCAGCAAACAAGCCTTTTCGGTGTAATAACAGTTGAAAGTTTTTTTTCAATCTATACATACATACATCTAGAGACTGAACTTTTTACCTATTCTTCTTTACAACGCAACACTCTTCTTTTCAGGCCTGCCAGTTTAGATTGGAGAGCCATGTTTTAGTATGTGCAATATTGCCATAGTCTTTCTGTTTATGGAAGGTAGATGAAGCAGAGCTTTGTGACTCTTTCAAAGCTTTGGGATATTGTTTTAGAACCTAATTGTGCTTTACAATTTCCCCACAACTTTCTCCTGACGCCTGTGTTCCCTGATGCCATTTGTTCACGTATGTTCTGTAACAAACCTTCGCAGAACACCTGGATGTACACTGAGGCAACACGATGAATTTTGTGGTTATGCTGAGACTAAATGTAAAAAAATAAATAAATAAATAAATATTGCATATAAAAACTTGCGCAAGGCACAGAAAACAAAAGGTTTAATAAAGTTTTGTGATGATGTCGACATTTAGGACTTACTCTTTTACTTTCTTCTCCGAGGCGTCAGAGCCCGGGTCGAAGATGCCTTTGGGAAGATGCTGGATGAGTCCGATACGCTGAGCGATACGGATCTGCTCCTCCTCGGTCAGCTGGTTGGCCAGACGACTCTCGCCTGGCGTAGGATGGAAGACTGGCACCTGCGGGGTGTGCTGCTACGAACAACAGATCACAAGACGCAGCCCGTGTCATCTCCAAAAGCAGAGGTGTAGAGCATTTGCTTCACACAAATTCCACCACAAATCTAGTTTTTCTTCTGCACTGCTTAGATGTTTTGCTGCCCATGGGATTTCTGCTCATACAGCTTGCATTTTGTAAAATCTTCACTGTAAGTACTCATGCTAACTGGAGAATTGCTTTACATGTTGAACCAGCTGACTGGGCTTATCGAAAACTAAATAACACCTGGATTAAGACAACAAATCCCATGCAAGTTAAGCAGAAGAGATTGAAAATGTAGGACAAAAAAAAAAAAAAAAACACAAAAACCCCCAAAAAAAAATGAAGTACAGATGGGGGATGTTAGATTCAAGGCAAACAAAAACAGATGAGAATGAAAAGCTGGCAGGGACACAGTGGGAACATCAGGAATGTAGTATTTTATGTTTTACTAAAACATGGCCGCAGGGAGATATTCCAGACACTGAAGTCTATTTACCTGACTGTGAAATTAACTGGCAGATGAGACTTTTATTCAGAAACATTGAGATACATGCGCTACATAAAAGGTCAACTTTTTTTTCTCACTATCTGACATTAAATGAAACCAAACCTTCCCTGTCTTGAACCATTTAAGATTAACAACATTATACCCAACTGCTAAATGCCAGGAGAATGAGAGAAAGGGAATTTTGGGTATTCAGAAATGTACAGTGAATTCAGAAAGACTTCTCAGTGCTTAACTTTCTCCATAATTTTTGCATTTGTCATAATGAGGTATTTGTGTTTAGAGGTATGTTTGGGGTATCCTTAAACAAGACTACCAATTGGAGTTTTGGTTCATTTCTCCTGACATGAAACCTTTAGAAAATATAACATCTACGATAGCTATGAGAATCAAGCATTTAGGGAACTTTTCCTGAGCATTAACTTTAAGTTACCATAAGGGAAGATTCAGGTAAGATTATTGTTTATTGCCTACATGTCAAGAAATTATTTTTTCCTTTTTTATATTTTCTGGAAACAATGAAGAGTATTGCACATTTAGCTCCTTTTCAAACTTTTGTTTATTGTCTTTTATTTATGGTCCTTTTATTTCCACAATTTAATTAGTTTTTTTTCTTTTCTTTTTGTTTACTTTTCATAAAGCACCAAAATACAACAAATGTCATGTTGAGGTGTATTACAAATATATCCATCCAGTTCCAATTGTTTTTACATAGAGTCCAGTTCGGTCCAAATCAATTCATTTTAAACCAACAGAATCAAAGTGTAAACCTCCCATTAGTCTGACCTATACTAGTAGGGCTTTAGAAATTAATCGAACACATTAATAATTTGCCTCATCACAATCCTACAAACTATATATTTTATACTTTAAGACGTTTTAAACAACTACCCATTCACGGGATGGATTTATAGATGACATTTTAGTCATAAAACAATTAAGAGTGACGTCAATCCGCGGGCTGCGAGTAAAGTAGACACTCAAGTTGCTTACCTGGTAAGGTGGCGGGGGCTCTCCGGGCAGACTGCCCCCCTCGGAATCGTTCAGCAGCGAAAGGTCATCCCCACCTTGTGAAAACAAGCAGTTCCCCATTGACCTAAAACCACCATGAGAGAGAAGACACTTCTTTCTGTGGGCAGAACTCAGCAGAGAACCTGAGCCTCAAAAAACAACCTGAGCAGCAACCGGACGGCAACTTAGCTCGAAGCTGCTAGCCGCAGGAAGGAGGCGGCAGGAGACAAGAGTTCAGACAAATCACCGCAAACGCGGATTGATACAGGTTCTTTGATTCCAGCAGCTGACACAGATGTTTACTGTGTTTGACAAGGAGAGGGGTCCGCGTCCAGCTGTTTGCTGTATTTACAACAAGCAGCAAACCGGAAATGTCGTCACGAGGAAGCTGGCCAATACTACACTTCCGACCTGCAGTTCAAAATAAAAGTTTCAAGGACGTACAGCGGCATAAACCATAAAGGCACAGAATAAAAACGACTTCCACACTTTTTGTAACACACCCCATATTTCATAAAGTTATGGAGGGCGGAGGGGGGAGCAGTTTGCTCTTTCATATGATACAACACTAAATAAGCAACAACAAGAAATACATAATGAAATACACATATTTTTATAAAAGCTCCAGTTAGCTGTATTCTGTGCATTACATCACAAGATAGTATTAACCCCAGCATTTGTCCCCATTCCTCCAAATTTATTTAAATCAAAACAGAAATAGGCACACAATAAGTTGACATTGTTGACACAAGCAGAGAAAGTTGTGCAAAGAAGGACGCAACCTGAATAAAGAATAAACAAAAAATACCAGCGGTTTAAATTGTTTAAAAAAAAAATACAACATTCAAAATGTGATTACTTTATGCCCAAAGGCTTATGTGTAGGTCACAAGCACCGCCTTATGATTTGCTACAGGAAGTCGTAAAAGTGGGCGTGGTTCGGTTGTGTTCTTAGCTTTCCGAAGATGAAAAGAGATGTTTAATCGTCGATAAAACATATTGCCAATAAAAATCAAGAAGAAGAGGATAAAATACCAGTAGGAGAAATACCAAACGTGTATTGCCAACCGTCAATAAAAATCAAGAAGCACAAAGAGATGGTAAGTCGAGGAAGATGCGATACCGTTCGGCATAGCTCGGAACAGATTTTTTTTTTTTTAAACCGTTTTAGGGTATTTCAATTAAAACAGTTAATTTGCGTGGAAACATAAAACACGAGAGACGCGTTTCAGGACTGTAATATGCAGCTGGGTGTGTGCGATTCTCTGTTTAATTTCCCAACAACTCACCCACGCAGGACATTCTCCGGTTCTTCTAACATGGCCTTAACTGTCTTTTCTATAGTTTTCCTCTCATGTGTTTTCCCTTTTCGGGGGCAAAATACTAAAGTAAAGGACAAGACACATTGGGGAGATTTTCACATAGATTCTAAGGTACTTTAGTTGAACATGTTCATCCTTATGTGTTTGAGTCAAAGTTTAAAACGAGGATGCGCTACCTCTATGAAAGAGCCCGCAGAGCTCCTTTTTTTTTTTTTTTTCCTTTTGTCCTTAGGAAGTTATAAACCTGAATTGGACCAAAGAGTCAGCGGGTCAGACTTCAAAAGAGTAATGGAGTCAAAATGCATCAACAAGACAACAAGGTTTTGCTTCAACTTAGTTTTATCTCATTTTAATGTGCGCATATTCAGACAACCAAGACGTGCCGACCTCCTGGACCCCCACCTCCGCCTCCATCCCGTGGAAATCCGCCATTTAGAGTCCCTTCTCCACCACGTCCTCAACATGCCGCAGTGCCTTTTATGTGTGATGCAAGGCTTCCAGTCCAAGAGACAGGCGACCAGGGAGACAATTCACATAACTCCCAGGTAAGCAAGCGCCTTCTCATCATTCTGGAGTTAAAATGACCAGAGACATCTAAGATATGTCATGATAAAATCTCCGCAGAGCCACAACACTAATGCTCCACTCCAGCACACAGACAACAGCACACCTCCACCTCCACTTGGAGAGGAGGACACAGAGACCGACGAGGGGAAGAAGCAACACCCAGTCCAGGAAACTGACCCCTCACCCCAGGCGTATGAGAACCCACAGGTGTGTCATCATGAATAAGTTTCTGTTTTTACGGTAGAACTGTTTTGGCAGCGAGAAAGGTGCATCTGCCTTAATCAGATGTTTGTTTTCATTCATTTTGATGTTTATGCTAACGGGTTGTAATACACAAACATATTTCTGTATAGTAGTTGGTCTGGGCTCGTTTTTCCATTGTTTACTTCATCAGTGCAGCGTGGCACAGCGGTCATCAGCCTTCAGCTAGTCTGCGTTGTTGGATTTAGGTCAGTGAAGAACTGTCATAGCATGAAATCTAAACTTTATTTTGGCGCACTGAGCCACGTCTAAGTAAGACACGCCTGTCCTTCACTTGTGGCTTAAAATTTTAATTTCAATTAACAAAAGTCCTCAAAAGGCTGGTTCTGGCAGAATAAATTGATAAAACTACCTATGACTTTTAAGATACTATAGCTTTCTCTACATTCAGTGAGTACTTCTTAAGATGAAACAATACTAAACATCTATTCTTAATGATGTAATTTGGTGCTGTGCAAATAAAATCCGATTTGATCCGACTGATGAAATAATATTTAAGCACACAACTATTGTGTTGAAGTCTAGAGGACCATACAAATAGTTCAAGGGTCAAACATGACTTAAAACGAGGAATATGTCAGTGAGAGCAGATCTGTGTGGAGTGACTCCTGAAGCAGTCAGTCTTAGTCCACACTTTGTGAGTCTCCCAAAACTCTTGAATAACCTTCGCTTTACAGTCAACTCAAAGTTGTATATCTTTCAGTCACATTTTTTCCTTCTACTGAACCTTCTACTAAGAAACTCCTGTGATTAATGAGCGTTTTTTTTTTTTTAACAATGACATCTTATGGATAATGTGACTGTCTTGCTACATCAGCTGTCAAGTCATCACACTTCCTCATAATTGTGTAATTATTCTAATTTTCAGTTTGGGTTTTTTTTCTATTAGCTGTAACCTGTAATTATAAGTAAACACTTGAACTAAATCAGAATATATTGAATCTATGCAAGTTTATTTTTTTAAAAAAATTCTATTACTTTCATAAATAAACATTTGTTGATTTTTATAATTTATTGAAATGCATTAATGCGATGTAAATTTTCACATCCCCAGCCTGCTGAGACCCCAAATCCTGAAGGAAATGTCAGCACGATGGATGAAGATGATGACATTCAGCATTCAAGAAGTGCTTAGGTTATGTTAAGAGTATATACTGTGTTCAGATGAAATGATTATGATTATGCCCATAGGGACAAATTAGAGGCATTGCTTTGGTCAGACCGTTTAAATATTGGGCTACAATAAAACCAACACTGTTTTTACTCTGTTCATAGCAGATCTTATCTTTTTAAGATGTTTTCTTACCCCACAGATATTTAACTGTGGGATAACTGTGCAATGTGGAAGTAAATTTGGGCACACTCGATAACTTTGAAGCACATGATTAGTCAGAGACATCTTGTAACGGCACAATGAGCTGTCGGTTTTCTTCTACTTTTCCTTCACTTGCAGTTCCACAAGGGGACAGCTGGCTCAATTTGTTTTGTGGATACAATACCATTGAGAGCTGTGCATAATTTTTTTTTTTCCAGCCAACAAAAGTGAAGATGAGTGGTGTCAAATGAAGGACAGATAGACAAGATGCATGACGCAAACTCTGAAGTTTGGTTTCTCCTCCGTTAAATTCATAAAAAGTAAAAAAAAAAAAAAGAAAAAAAGAAAAAATGTCTGTTTTCTGAGTGAAAATTGCACAACTTCAGCTTCCACGCTTTCAGCTATTTAAGAAGTAAAATTACAAAAGGAATATTATTCATTGCTTTTGATCTAATTAAATATTAGACTGGTAATTATGCTAGATAACTAACTTATTTATTTAGTAAATATACACTAAGTTTTAATGAAAATTATATGTGTAAGAGCAAACTATTATGTCAAGTCAGAAGATCTTTAAGTTTTGAGGTACTTTAAATGCATCTTGACGCTGGATTGTAATAAACGAGAGAAAGAATGAAAAATAGATCACCAAAGAAAAGAGTGTCAGAGTTGTGTAATACTGGATTTAAAGTGAATTGTTTTTTGTTGTTGTTTTTGCAGTGGGTAGTTACTTCTCAGATTGAAATTCATGCTGTTGGTTTATTTTTATGTTAAAATGCAGATTGTTTCTTCTTTACTTTTTTTTAAATTCTCAGTTGCTTATCATCTTGTTTCCAAAACACACAAAGTTGATAAAAGAAAAAGAAAGAAACTCAGTACTAGCTCAAACCATGTTTATTCTTGCTCTATAATAAGACTCGGAACAAATGGAGTGTGTGTGAACATCTGTCCAGCTCATATTTTCATACTTTAACACACTGTGTGTAATGCTGGTTGGCTTTGTTTTGTTACGTGATAAATATGTTTCACTTTGAGAATTTTTGTTTGTGAAAGCAAAGTTTTTGCACAGGAGAAGAACTCATTTTAAAGACAAATTTAACATTTCAATTGTATGTTTTGTTGAGAAAATCTGCAACAAGTTAGTGACTTTCTTTGTAATTGCATTTCTAAAGATGCTTTAGTTTGTTGATATATTTTTATTCAATATGTGCCTTTAGGATTTATTTTTTTCAACTGTTACTTGTGCCTGCATAGGATGGGATAATAATGCATTGAAGTAAATAATCTATACTTTCCTTTAATTTTCTTTGACTGAATTGGACTTAGTAAAAATGCAATTTCTATTCCTTGTGAGTTTCTCAAAAATAAAATTTGTTGAGAAATGTCAGTAAATAAACTGAATTATTTAAATTTTAGTCTATGATTTTTGTCATCAAAACATTTCTTTATATCTTAAACTCAAACTTTTTTGTTCTAATTTAGTGTTTCAGGACAAATTGATGATCCATAAGTGAGAATGCTAAAGATTCAAGTGTTGTTGGAGGTATGCATGGCTTTACATTCATAGCATATTTTCACAGTGGAACCAGTAATATCTCACAAGTAAAATAATGCATCTATTGATTTGATGGGGAAAACAAAAAAGTGAAAAAGCTTTGCAGAATTAAGAGAGGAGTCAGAAACATAAGGACCGAGTAATGTTCGACAATGACAGAGTTGAAATTAAGTTGGAGAAAATAATGTGAACCCTCTTTTAAATGTAGCACTGTATGAAATCCTAATCTAGATTAACTGGGTTTTAGCAGCAGCAGGATCTAAAATGATTTTATTTATCAAACAAAAACTGAAGCTTAAAAAAACCCTTTGTACGGTAGGATTTCAGCGTGAAAGCAGCTGCCAGGTGCTGGTGTTTAAAGCCTCTATAAAAACAGAAGTATGCTGGTCTGGAGCGCACATGTTTCTTTCAGCACAACGCCAAGGAAGAAGATCAACGGTAGTTTAGAGATGCAACTGTTACTGTCCCTTAATCAGGTAAGGGTTATAAAACCATTTCCAAACTAAAGTAAAAAACGCTAGTGGAAAAAAATAATATAGCTGCCAGTATTTGTTGGAGTGGACATCCAAGCAAAGGTCTAAAGTTCATGTCAGCAGAAGAAAAGATTG